TAAGGGTATGCACAAAGGAGGTTTCCCTGTGGAGCAAAACAACTGCCCCACAAAATGGCTACCACGCAAAGCCTTTGTCGGCAGGTATGTATCAGTGAAGCAGTCATGGTCATAGTGGATGTAGTATGGTAGTGTATCTTTGGATTTTGGAGTTTAATTAAGCTTCAATTGGAGTCCTGATTGGCTAGTTTTGTATTCAAAGATAAACCACCTCTTCTAATTCTTTGTCAAAGCAACGTGACTGATAACCGAAAAACCCTAAAATTCTTGGCAATATCTAGGCGACCTGCTCAAATACTGTTAATTGTCTTTGTGTCAGTAATTTTGGTTATATTCTATAATATTCTATAATATTTTCTATAATATTGTATAGCGGGACAGTCAATTATTGGACAGTTGTAAGCACCCTGGTACCCATGCTCAGGCTTGTCGTATTGCGCACAAATTGCGTTGGGCGTTGGTACCCGACGCGGGTCAATAACCGCGTGGCTTGCGTGCGGTCTGCTTCTTCCGTCCCAGCGCTCTTTCGGGCTGCACCCTTGTTGACGCCGTGCCGCACTTTCCCACTCTTTTTGCGCCCAACCTCCGCGTTTGTGCTCTGGTGACTGGGTTTGCACCGAGTGAAGCCGAGCTGAGCCTTGCACCAGGGTGAGTTGAACCCTAAAGTTGAGGCAAGAAGGAGGAATCTGCCCTGTTGGTCATTGTTGATGTTACCCAGAAGCACAACAGACACCTAATTAGGGAGCACCTACGTGTCTAATAAATAAGTACATCGGCCTGTCCCAGAGTCATTTGGCTTGGTCCGTTAGTTATTTGTATCCAACCCCTTCGTTCGTGTGTGGTGAGCGCGTGAGAGTGCGCCCCGGTGCCTGGTGGTAGACTTCCCCGCGACGAGTCTGCTCCCCTGGCCTTTTTATTAGACCGCTCGTAGGACGGCCGAGGCCCTACTCAGGGTACGTCCCCTTCCCAGGTTCGCCCGAAGGAAGTCGCCTACTCCAGGTGGACGACAACGTTGGCGAGTCTAGGGGAGGACTTCGCCACAATATTGTAATATGTAAAGTACAGGTTTATCGAGAAAATAAAATAACTCCCAAACCTGATGGAGCTTCCTTGAAACCGTGTTACCTCATAAAATATAGTCAATCATGGGCAATACCCGACCTTATTATTCACCACAGTGAATATAGGTTTATTTTTAGTTCCAGTCATGCATGTTTTAGTTGTGTTTGGTCCAGTGATGGCAAGCAAACCAAAGTAACAATTATCCGGCTCTTAAGTGTGAACTCACTTCAGTTTGAACCACGCCCACTGCACATGCACTGCGCGTAGAGTTACCTGCATTGATCATAGTTTACAATGGGTGCGTTCGATTAGCTTACACGTGTAAGTCAAACTTTCACGAGAGCGTTCGCTTAGCCATCACGTGATCTTTGTGCCTGCCCTGGTGTCAGCCACCACTACCCCAGCTGGCGAGCGGGTCTCTGGAGGCTGCCTTAGTGTAATGATGTCACGGATGGACTGTTCGAGCGCTGGCATGCTCATGGACATGATGGAACGTGGCGGGGACTTGCCCTTTTTCCCAGTATGCCTTGGCGAATACACTGCAGCGTTTGATTAGCCTCATTTCGAGGCTTTCCTTGCGTGTAACACTGATGTGTTCAGGGAAGCTAATCGAACGCACCCATAGAGCATATGGAACCGGAATTTAACGCGCAACTTCAGCGATAGTCCAATGGGAGCATGCCAATCGTGGCGCGTCCACATTTGTGACAAAGTTACTTATACAAACCGGATAACGACCGTGAAACTGAATTTTTGTCCTGCTGCACGAAGCCGCAATCCTAATTTTGATAAGAAATATGAAAGGGCTGCGTAGCGCCGTGATCAGAATACAGACAAAAATACATGTGCAATATATAATCAGTAAATCCTAATTGTGATGTTTGAAAAAACTATACCAGACAGCGCGAGCCCAACCATCGTCACATGCGGGTTTCCATTGTGGATGAGTGTTTGCAGATAAGAAAGTTAGCCAAATAGAGTACCAAACAAACATGAAAGCAAACATTAAAGCTTTGGGTTAACACTTTGGCAAATACGGGCGTTTCACAACAGTGCGCCTCCGAGATTTTGCACGCTGTGATTAGTCAACGCGGGTGAATCGCCCGTGTTCCGTCGAGTGCAAAGATTCTATTTTCCGCTTCAGTTTGTTTCTTATTATCTCTTTAACCACAAACATGGGGAATACCACAGTGCAATAGACCGTATCTGTGGCGCCCCCAAATTCAGTCGCATACCTGAACGTACAGTTTAAGTTTGAAACCTGTAATGGGATGGTACCAGGTGATTTTAGGGGTCGGAATGTAATCGTAGAATATAGTCTGGTTCTTTGAATTTAACGTTTGGGGAATATGACTGAAATTGGGGACGCCGCGATTACCGTCTATTCAAGAGTGACAATATCATTTGAGACATTTCTCTGAACATTAATTACATTTGTGTGGCATTTATTCAGAGAATCGCCCTCAATCACCACTTTTTTTCAATTCTGGTACATGTATGTCACGTTGGATACACCGTACGGACCGAATCGTCAACTTGACCATGTAGGTACCACGTATGTATCAGAGGGAATTTATTAACTGCGCATGTCCTGTTTTTACGGTCGTTTGCCTGCGCAATGAGGGCTATATGGGAATTCGTGCCAGGCAAACAGCTGCTTCATGTCATGAAATTTATGACTTATTTTTACTTTTTGGAAAAAAAATTCCTGCCCAAAATATTTTAATGGTAGGTATGTAAGATAAGGCCTTTTCCTAACGTGTTTTGTGAAAATAGTAGACCTACCGGAATTGACCAAAACTAGTGATATTTGTGAAAACCTCTTTTCTTAAGCGGTAGTTTGATGCGATTACGTTTTGATGCGATTTTTGAAGGCTCAAAACAAAGAATTCGAAGTTTTCCTGAAGTTTTCAAAAGTGGGCTGTGGTAGAGAAAGGTGTGATGGTTTTATATTTGCTGACGGTTTTGCACTAGACTTTTTGTCTCTTCCCGATCGGACGCGTATGCATATCAGTCGACCTACAGCACCGATTCCGTTCATCCCGCATAATTATAATCTTGCGAAGCTACGGCCTTGCGAGCGTAAGAATTGAGTGACTCGGCAGGAACGAAAGACAAATACAAAAGTACAGTAAGTTAACATGAAATTAATTACTGAAACAGAGGTCTGTCAGTCATTATAAAATTGCCAGGAAGATGTCGAAATTCACGGAATATATCCCCAGTTTACATGTAATATACACGCATGAACAGTCGAAAATTTCCATGTACCTGTACATGTACATGCATAATTCATATACATGTCATTAGCCGCGGTACGCGTGTAGGGCGCAGTTAACCATACACAGTGGCCATGCAGGTGGTGTGGATCGGTACGTGTATATGATCGGTACGTGTATATTCTAAAACTGAGAAATTTAGTGGAAAAAAGACTAGGGATTGATTGAAAATGGAAATAATTTATCATCCTAGCAACCACTCTGAGGCTAAATTTCATATTTATGTAGCATTTCTTTTCATGATTCTGTAGTGTTTTATTCAGGTTTGTGCCTAGTAGAGCACATACAAAGAGTTCAATGTGATCGTTTGTTAACTTTGTGGAAGGCTTCAAACCAAGAAGGCTCAACTCAGGATCGGCATGTTGCTAAGGACGTTTCCATATGGTTCAAGGGGTCCTGTCATGGTCCGGTCAAGTAATTCCGCCGCCGGCGCACTGTCGCTGGTCGAAGTCTTTAATTTTCCATACGTTGAATCGGCGTTGGTGAAACATGCCAGGTGTCTGAACTTTCGACCATGCTTCGACGGAGTCGAAATCTAGACTAACTTACAGCAGATTGCAAAATTTGTTCCAAAACTCCCATTCTAGCCTCTAATTATTAAAAAAAGTTCATAAAGTTACGCATTTTTGTTAATAGGCAATAGATTGGTTCCTGGATTTCCATTCAAACTCCCTTCTTTTGGAGTGAAAAAAAAATTGTCCATCGTTTTTGGATCTAGAGCTCGAGTGGAGAGGATCGCTAGCAGCCACCATACGTACAGCAAACCGAAGTTTGAAAAACACTACAATTTCAAGATGGCGGCGGCCATGCCAGAGAGCATGGACATGATGGAGAGTGTGGACGCAACGGAATCGGCCGAATGTTCAACGGCTCCAGCGGGAANTCAGTCAACACGGGTGAATCGCCCGTGTTCCGTCGAGTGCAAAGATTCTATTTTCCGCTTCAGTTTGTTTCTTATTATCTCTTTAACCACAAACATGGGGAATACCACAGTGCAATAGACCGTATCTGTGGCGCCCCCAAATTCAGTCGCATACCTGAACGTACAGTCTAAGTTTGAAACCTGTAATGGGATGGTACCAGGTGATTTTAGGGGTCGGAACGTAATCGTAGAATATAGTCTGGTTCTTTGAATTTAAGGTCTGGGGAATATGACTGAAATTGGGGACGCTGCGAATACGGTCTATTCAAGAACGACAATATTGTTTGAGACATTCCTGTCAGCACCTTAATTACATTTGTGTGGCATTTATTCAGAGAATCGCCCTCAATCACCACTTTTTTTCAATTCTGGTACATGTATGTCCCGTTGGATACACCATACGGACCGAATCGTCAACTTGATCATCTAGGTACCACGTATGTATCAGAGGGAATTTATTAACTGCGCATGTCCTGTTTTTACGGTCGTTTGCCTGCGCAATGAGGGCCATGGGAATTCGTGCCAGGCAAACAGCTGTCATGAAATTTATGACTTATTTTTACTTTTCGGAATTAAAAATTCCTGCCCAAAATATTTTAATTGTATGTAAGATAAGGCCTTTTCCTAACGTGTTTTGTGAAAATAGTAGACCTACCGGAATTGACCAAAACTAGTGATATTTGTGAAAACCTCTTTTCTTAAGCGGTAGTTTGATGCGATTACGTTTTGATGCGATTTTTGAAGGCTCAAAACAAAGAATTCGAAGTTTTCCTGAAGTTTTCAAAAGTGGGCTGTGGTAGAGAAAGGTGCGATGGTTTTAGATTTGCTGACAGTTTTGCGCTAGACTTTTTGTCTCTTACCGATCGGACGCGTATGCATATCAGTCGACCTACTTGAACTCAGCACTGACCGGATTCCGTTCATCGCGCATAATTATAATCTTACAAAGTTCCGGCCTTGCGAGCGTAAGAATTGGGTGACTCGGCAGGAACGAAAGACAAATACAAAAGTACAGTAAGTTAACATGAAATTAATTACTGAAACAGAGGTCTGTCAGTCATTATAAAATTGCCAGGAAGATGTCGAAATTCACGGAATATATCCCCACTTTTACATGTACTATACACGCATGAACAGTCGAAAATTTCCATGTACTTGTACATGTACATGCATAATTCATATACATGTCATTAGCCGCGGTACGCGTGTAGGGCGCAGTTAACCATACACAGTGGCCATGCAGGTGGTGTGGATCGGTACGTGTATATGATCGCGCTCACCCGTGTGCAGAAATGTCAAATATAACTCATGAAAGTCGAACAAAAATTCATAGAAATGATCGTATTGTGTAGTTGGGATTCTGGCATGTCGTGTGCAGTGTTTCAATGTTCTGGGAAAACTTCTAAAACTGAGAAATTTAGTGGAAAAAAGACTAGGGATTGATTGAAAATGGAAATAATTTATCATCCTAGCAACCACTCTGAGGCTAAATTTCATATTTATGTAGCATTTCTTTTCATGATTCTGTGCTGTTTTATTCGGTTTGTGCCTTGTAAAGCACATACAAAGAGTTCAATGTGATCGTTTGTTAACTTTGTGGAAGGCTTCAAACCGAGAAGGCTCAACTTAGGATCGGCATGTTGCTAAGGACGTTTCCATATGGTTCAAGGGGTCCTGTCATGGTCCGGTCAAGTAATTTCGCCGCCGGCGCACTGTCACTGATCGAAGTCTTTAATTTTCCAACAGTTGAATTGGGGTGAAACATGCCAGGTGTCTGCCCCTTCGACCATGCTTCGACGGAGTCCAAATCTAGACTAACTAATGATTGCAAAATTTGTTTCAAAACTCCCATTCTAGCTTCTAATTATTAAAAAAGTTCATAAAGTTACG